ACACTACGGTCACGTCGTAGACAGGCAGGTAGATATAAGGAGGGGGCGACAGGCGGCAGGATTCGTATCTCTTCTCTTATAATTTCCCCGAGTGATTGTCTTTTTGTGTTGTTATTCTTCTCTCCCCCCCCTCTCTCTCTTTCTTTTCTTCCCTCTTTGTCTCTCTGTCTCTCTGTCTCTTTCTCTTCTTCCCTCTGTCTCTCTCTCTGCCTCTCTCTCTGCCTCTCTCTCTTTGTCTTTCTCAGTCTCTATCTCTCTCTATCTCTCTCTGTCTCTATGTCTCTCTGTCTCTTTCTTTCTCTCTCTCACCCTCTCTCTCTCTTTCTTTTCTTCCCTCTTTGTCTCTCTGTCTCTCACTCTCTCTTTCTCTTCTTCCCTCTGTCTCTCTGTCTCTCTGTCTCTCTGTCTCTCTGGTTGATTGCACACCACCCCTCGTCTGTGCTCAGAAATAGAAAAAACATAAACATTTGGAAGCGGAAGCCGCGTTGTCTCTGATTCGAAAGCGAAACTGCATACAGTTGCGAACGTGTTGTCTGTGCCTTGTTGATCTGAATTCGGAACCTAAGGTAATGATCAGATGGCTGTGGTGGTTTATTGTAGCTGAAAGCTTTGCAGTGTAGACTAGTATAGATCTATATCTAGACTCTAGATGATGTATCGTGTAGAACCAAACAAGAGCCACAGAGTCTCCCGAGGGAGAGAGACCAGATCTAGACCTCCTTAGATCTATATATCTAGATATAAATTATTATAAATATAAATATAGATCTAGAATCTAGAATGTAGACCTAGGCCTAGGCTTGCCTCTCCTTCTTAGTAGTCCCTCACTTATTATAACTAACTAATGTCCACTGGAACTGCATGCAATGTACTGGCCTTTGTAGAGCTAAATCTAAGTTTGTTTGAAGTTTGATGGGAATAGCACACAGTGAGCCTAACCCTAATTACTAATACTAATACTAATTTAGTAAAACAAATTTAAGCTTCCTCTATTACCGAGTATTGGCATTCACTAATTAATGACTAGATTCTAAATCTAATGGCAATGTTAGATCTATCTCAGCTGGGCACTTTGTAGAGCTAAATCTAGGGTTGTTTAGAAAAGCGTTTGATTGTATATCACACGGTGAGCCGAACGCTTAGTCAACCAAGTAAGCTTCCTATTACTATTATTATCATTACCGACTTAGAATGACATTCACTAACAAATGACTATAATGGCAATGCTCAATGCTAGATCTAGGGTTGTTTAGTGTTTGATTGGAAATGTCACACAGTGAGCCGAACGGTTTTAACTAATTAAAAGTTGGGGGCTCGGGTGACTAATCAACTAAGTGAGTAGGCCTAGATCTCGAACCGTCATTTCAGTTTGGGAAATTTTTCGCAGCTCGTCCGACACAAAAGCATAAGCCTAGATTTTTTGTCGAATAACTTTCGATCCCGTTTACTTTTAACCTAGATTCTCTAAACGGCACTCTTCGAGGGAAGTGGTCCCGGCTTAACACCATAGAAATAACACTAAGACTTGTAGTCAGAAACAAAAACAGAAGTCGAGTAAAAAAGCTGTCTTCGGTAATTTTTTTCCCTTACTTCAAGTTTAGAATATTTCCCACATTAATTTTTTAATCGGCTTCCTTTTTTGTTTCCGATTGCAAGTGTTATTTCTACGGAATTAGGCCGGGACTACTTCTCCCGAAGAGTGCCCTCTAAACGAGTGACAACCCCGTTTTGTTTTTTCGAGCAAAACTTTTTTCAACGTTATAGATTGGTGTGGAAGGGCACTTTTCTTAGAGAGGCCAGAATATTGCTCGATATGAGTCGGGCGGAACTATTTTCTTACGGATATTGATAAGTAAATGGGACAAACTGATACAAGACCGGGAACGGTAGCTCGATAACATTAACAATCAGTGCCGTCTGTCTCAAGTCATCCGTAAGAAAATCGTGTCTTTTCATCGGACAGGCTACAGCACGGGCAAAAATAGTTTTGGTGTCGACGGACATCCCCGCTCCGTCCCTCATGTTTAAACCGACTGCGTCAGTGTCGTTCTGTAGGTATTAATTTTAAATAACGTTTCCAAGCCCTCTGACCTGGTAACCGTAACAGTTTTGGTCAGGTCCATTTTTCCACTTCTCTTTCCCCCGATCTCGGAATCTTCGCGGAGAGGAGCAGCGCCAGCCGTTTGCCAGCGACGAGGAGACGGTGAATTCTCACGCATCCTCAAACCCGCACACACGCACGCACCAACACACACACACACACACACACACACACTCGCGCGCGCTTGGCAGTCCGACCCGAAATAGGTATATTTCATTAAAACATTTCCAGTCGAAAGTCGGGCTTGAGTTGTTTTCTTATTCGTACAATCAGATAATATAAGTGAGACAAATTATCGATAAAAGACCAATGCGACAGCCATATACATATATTGTACGCACACAAACACACGCACATGCATGCATGCGCGCACGCACGCACGCATGCACACACGCTTGCACGCATGCACGCACACACTCAGGAAAAAAAGACAGGACGAGAGAGGGGAGAGAGAGAAAGAGAGGGAGAAAAAGAGAGAGAGAGAGAGTCAGCAGCACTTCCCGGTGTGTCCCGTAGGTCTGCGCTCATAGAAAAAGCTCACTTTGGGCGTATATTTTTCCAGTCTAGCGGAAAATACAAATCATCGCCAAACCTTTCGTGAAAGAGAAAAAAAATATTTTGAAAATAAGGGGCAAAGATGTTGTCACCTCATAACCCCTAATCCCCCCTCTCTCCCCTCCAACCCACCCTCTTTCTCTCTCTCTCTCTCTCTCTCTCTCTCTCTCTCTCTCTCTCTCTCTCTCTTTCTCTGTATTTTATAATTTAACTCGCTTGGTCTTTTACGTTCAGTCACGGCTTCCATCGCCTTTCTTCGGTAGATTGCACACCACCCCTCGTTTGTGCTCAGAAATTAGGAAAAACATAAACATTTGCCAAGCGGAAGCCGCGTTGTCTCTCATTCGAAAGCGAAACTGCATACAGTGCGAACGTGTTGTCTGTGCCTTGTTGATCTGAATTCAGAATTCAGAACCTAAGGTAATGATCAGATGGCTGTGGTGGTTTATTGTAGCTGAAAGCTGTGCAGTGTAGGCTAGTATAGATCTAGATTTAGATTTAGATCTAGACTCTAGATGTTGTATCGTGTAGAACCAAACAAGACTCACACAGAGTCTCACGAGGGAGAGAGACCAGATCTAGACCTAGATCTAGATCTAGAATCCACACCTAGGCCTAGGCTTGCCCCTCCTTCTTACTTCTTCTTAGTCCCTAACTTATTATAACTAACTAATCATAATGTCCACTGGAACTGCATAGGCTAGTATAGATCTAGATCTAGATCTAGATCTAGATCTAGATCTAGATTCTAGATGTTGTATCGTGTAGAACCAAACAAGACTCACAGCTAGTCAGCTACTCTAGGCTTGCTTCTCCTTCTTAGTACTTAGCTCTTAGTCCCTAACTTAGTATTAATAGATGTAGTCTGTAGTGATTCTAACTTATGACCACTGGCACTGCATGCAGTGTACAGGGGTAGGACTGGTCTTTGTAGAGCTAAATCTAGGGTTTTGTGTATAATGGGAATAGCACACGGTGAGCCTAACCTTAATACCTAATACTAATACTAGATCTAGATCTAGATCTAGTTTTCTAGATCCAGATCTAGAAGATTCTAATACTAATTTATAACTAATATTTAATAGGCCACCTCTATTCTCACCCGGAGTGAGAATAGTGCAGGCGAGTCTTGTGGCTATTCTCACCCGGTGCGCGTTCACCCTAAACCACAGAATTCTACACTGTGATAACAGAAAAATTGTAGAATTCTGTGCCGTGAACAAACGTTCCATTACAATTGTAGCCTACTAAAAGCGTACAATTTTGTCTGTGGGCAGTGGAGAGAGAGAGAGAAAGTGGCGACCCGCGTAGTTCGGCTCGATTCGAAAAGTTAAATAGCCATAGCATCTTTGTAGACAACCAAATTTATTTACTTTTGTGTTTTAACATCATTTTTTAACTTTGTTTTGGTCAATTTGATCGTCCACACCGATAGACAGTATTCAGAAAGAGACGGAGAGAGAGAGAAGAGGGGAGGAGTTGATCTTGCGAGAACTTCCGGGCGGGTGAGAATCTAATAGCCACTTTCTATTTAATAAAACAAACGAAGTGGCTTAAGTACGGCTAAACTGCCAGTCTATCCGTACTTAGATCTAGGGTTGGCCCAATCGACTCAAGCCTGTTAAGTACACAGGTCTCATTAGATCTAGATCTAGATCTAGATATAGTAATTATTCAGGTTCAAATACATGCAAGTCAGTAAGGCACCTTTTGGTTTTGTCTGAAATACAAATACTTTAGGCATTGCAAACTAAAAATTTCATTTACAATTCAGCCATCAATATTAAGTACGGCTAGCCTGACAGTCTAGCCGTCCTTAAGTACGGCTAGCCTGGATGTCTACCCGTACTTAAGTACGGCTAGACTGCCAGTCTAGCCGTACTTATCTTAGGCCCTATTAACATTAGAAAACAGGAGGTTTAAAATACATGCACTGTCATTAAGGCACCTGGTTTCGTCTCAAATACAAATACTTTAGGTACTGCACACTAAAAATGTATATTTACAATTCAGTAGGCCTATTTTTTGTAAATAGGTCAGTCTAGCCATCATATTAAGAATAAGTACGGCTAGCCTCTTCCTAAAACAAAAGCTTCACTAAGTAATGACTAGATCTAGATCTAGATTCTAGATCAAGATCTAATAGCAATGCTAGATCTATCTGAGCTGGGCACTTTGTAGAGCTAAATCTAGGGCTGTTTAGAAAAGTGTTTGATTGGAAATATCACTCGGTGAGCCAAAGGCTTAGTCAACCGAGTGAGAATCCTATTATTATATTATTACCGACTAATGGCATTCACTAACAAATGAGTTATCAAACTTCAAACAAACTTAGATTTAGCTCTACAAAGGCCAGTAATGGCAATGCTTAATGCTAGGACTTGGCTTTGTACAGCTAGATCTAGGGTTGTTTAGTGGTTGATTGGAAATGTCGCACGGTGAGCCGAACGGTTTTAACTAATTAAAAGATGGGGGTTCGGATGGCTAAGTAAGTGAGTGGGTCCAGATCTAGTGAGTTTAGACTCAACAGTAATGTTAAGCAAATGTCGGTGTTTGACACCGTTAACCAAACTGCCCCTCTGGGATCAATAAAATTGTAATTTATAAATGTATCTCTTTAATGGTTCACTTTGAAGTCAGTATTCCATGAGTAAGAAACGCGAGTGATTCTTGAATTAAAAAGTGGAGACCTCGAACCGTCATTTCAGTTTGGGAAATTTTCTGCGCTCGTCCGACGCAAAAACATAGGCCTAGATTTTTTGGCGAATAACTTTCGATCCCGTTTACTTTTAGCCTCGTTTCTCTAAACGGCATTCTTCGAGAGGAGTGGTCCCGGCTTAACTCCAAAGAAATAACACTAAGAGTTTGTAGTCGGAAACAAAAACGGAAGTAGGGTAAAAAAGCTGTCTTCGGTATTTTTTTGTCGTTCGAATTTAGAATATTTTCATCCTGATTTTTTTCTTCATCGGGTGGCATTGTGACCCTGGCAACTCAAGCCAGCTTTTTTAATCGGCTTCCGTTTGTGTTTCCGATTGCGAGTGTTATTTCTATGGAATAAGGCCGGGACCCCTAATTCTCCCAAAGAGTGCCCTCTAAACGCGTGACAACCCCGTTTTGTCTTTTCGAGCAATACTCATTTCAACATTACAGATTGGTGTGGAAGGGCACTTTTCCTGAGAGGCAAAAATAAAATATTGCTCGATATGAGTCAGGCGGAACTATTTTCTTACGGATATTGATGTAAATGGAACAAGACCGGGAACGGTAGCTCGATAACAATCGATGTCATCTGTCCCAAGTCATCCGTTAAAAAAAGCGTGTCTTTTCGTTGGACGGGCTACAGCACGGGCGAAAATAGTTTTGGTGCGGACGGACATCCCCGCACGGAACCTCAATTTTTAACCGACTGCGTCACTATCGTTCTGTAGGTATTAAT